GTGTGTGTGTGTGTGTGTGTGTGTGTGTGTGTGTGTGTGTGTGTGTGTGTGTGTGTGAGTGCGTGCGCGCGCGTGTACAAGAGAACGTGAAGAAGAAAGCGAAGAAGGGATGAGATGGGTGCCATCTACCCGAGCCACACCACGTCACAAGCGCGGATATGGGTTGCGCCTCGAGTGTAGGTGATGGTGCTGCTCCCTGGCCAACCCGTGCTTGTCGTCCGCCTGACCACGCCCCCGATCGTCTCCCCCAATCGCTCCATGACTACTCCCGTGCACTCGCCCCGGTTCAGCATGCTCCTCGCCCCTTCGTTCTCCAGCACCACCATTGCCACCACCACGGCCACCGCCACGGTTACCACCACGTCCACGTCTGCTGCGCTGATGTTTGCGGTTGCGGCTCTTCCGTCTCTGCAGGCGATTACCATCGCCGTCACCGCGGTCACCACCACGGCCACCGCCACCATGCCGATCACCGCGGTCACGATGCACAGCAGCTGCACCACGGTGCTCGCGCTGGCTGTGGCCGTCACCATCCTCTGCATGCCGCTCAAAGTGCTGCGAGTCGCGATGGTGGTGGTGGCGGGAGTAGCGGTCGAGTGGCTGGGACGGTTGGTGCTGCAGTACATGCTGCTGCTGCTGCTGCCGCTGTTGATGCTGCTGTTGTCGATGCTGGTGCTGCTGCTGTTGATGCTGCTGCTGCTGTCGATGCTGCAGTACATGCTGTTGATGCTGCTGCTGCTGTCGATGCTGGTGATGCCGCTGTTGCTCAAACTGGAGGGGCGGCGGGTGTTGTGCATGGTGCACACGCTGCGTGGCGAGGCCACCACCACGCTCCCGTGCTTCGCCCACTGCCACATCACCACGTGGGACTTCGCTCTGTATCAGCTGCGTCAGGCTGTCTGCCAGGTCATGCACGGTGACGCTTGCCAGCCCCTCTGTCCTCGCCGCAACCTGCAGACCTTGGTCGTTCGTCAGCAGCAGCGCCTTGTCAAACTGCAGCGGGTTGTGTGTGTGTGTGCGTGCGTGTGTGTGTGTGTGTGTGTGTGTGTGTGTGTGTGTGTGTGTGTGCGCGCGTGCGTGCGTGCGTGTGTGTGTGTGTGTGTGTGTGTGTGTGTGTGTGTGAGGCACACAACGATCAGCCAGTGCATGTGGTCGAGGTGCGATTCACTCTACTTGACCGCCACACACACACACATTAACGCACATACACGCACACACACACATGTGCACACACACATGTACACACTCACTCACACACACACACACCTACCTTTGGTCTCGCAAGGCGTTGTTTTGCAAACAGGGCACACTCCATGATTCGATGGTCATTTGTCAATTGCTTCTGCTCCCACTTGGCAAACACCTGTGGCAGGTGGATGGTGTGTACGTGCATGCAACAGGGAAGGTGAACAACAGCACCGCAGTCTTTCTCTTCACAGCCTTGAACACGAGTTATGTTTGCTGCTGCAGCAACAACAACAACAGCAGCATCATCATCAACAGCAGCACGATGGGCCTTACCCGGTCCTGTACGCGTTGCACTTGCACCTGTGGATCCTGTCGCTCCAGCCGCCGACGCAAGAACCGAATAAACGAGCGAGCATGGTACCCGCGCTCAGTGTTGTTCTCCTGCAGTGCCGCGTGGTGCGTGTTGCACCGCGAGTTGGATGTTGGGCGTGATAATGGACGTGTGGGAATGAATGTGAGGTGATGGCCGGGTGTTTGAGTCGATGGCACAGGATGCAGTGGCAAACTGCGAGTGATCAAGGGTTCTTGAGATTGTGGCAGAGGAAGAAATATTGACTTGAGAACATTCACACACACACGTACACACACACACGTACACACACACACACACGTACACACACACACACACACACACGTACACACACACACACACACACACACACGCACGCACGCACACATGCACACACACACACACACGCACACATGTACACACACACACATGTACACAAACGCACATGCACACACACACCTTCATGCGCTCGAGCTCCTTCATGACGATGCGCGGGACGATGATCACAAGTGATCGGTACCAGTCCAGCAGCTGCAGCAGCGTTGTTACATCCTACACTCACACGCGCGCGCGCACACACAAACAGTGGCAACGGTTTTAACTTGTGCAGCACGCGAGAAGAGGGCAGAACGACGCTGGATTCAGCACACGACCCACACACACCCACACACACCCACACACCCACACCCCCCCCCCCACACACACACACGCAACTGACCATTGGGTTGAGGGCGATGCACGTGTCGATGACAGCGAAAACGGTGCTGACGTCCAGCTGCGGGTTGATGCGCGCACGTGCGCTGGAAGGACTCGCCAGTTTTCCTTTGGACAGCGCGCTCGCCAGCGTATGCTCCGCAGCCAGGGGCGGAGGTGGCGGCGCACTGCGCTGTTGCTGTTGGTGTTGCGGTTGCTGTTGGGTGTGGTGTTCGTGTGGATACCGTTGCTGGCGCTGCTGTTCGTGCGTGTATTCTCCCTGCTGCTGCTGCTGCTGCTGCCCCTCCCCATAATCTGGCATGAGAAGGTGCGACCTTGGCTGGTGGTGGTGGATTTCACGGCGTGTTGCATGGGTGGCGCTGCGTGTCATTGATGGCGACACAGTGCCCGTCTCCCTGAGCCGTTGCGTCCGCACAAGCTGTGGCAGGGGTGAAGAGGTCATTTCTCCTCCACCGATCGCGGAGTGCGACAACCCCTGTGACCGTTGCTGCTGCTGCTGCTGCTGCTGCTGGACGGATTCTTCGTGTTGCATGGCACTTCGAAGCGGCGACAGCGAAATCCCAGCAAACATCGTGTTGAGTGTCTCTGCGAGGGCACGTGCATAGTCATGTACGTGTGATACACATGCAATTGGGTGAGAACAGAGGCGACAGCCTTTTAGACTCTCCAATGCGTCCACAACGGATGAGCCAACACGAGAGGCCTGTTTCTGACTCATCAACGCACACACACACACACACACACACACACACACACACACACACACACACACACACACACACAGAGTGCTAACCTGCATTTGGGTCTTGGCGCTTGAGGTGCTGCAGGAGGAGGTCTGTGTTTCTGAGGAGGGACGCGGGCGCATTGTTGAGCTTGGGGCACTCGCGGAACCACAGTGCTGTCAGCGTGCCCGCTATTCTCCACAGCGACACGGGCAGCGATTTCAGGTGCGGCTGCGTACCAATACCAAGTTCGCGCAGGCTCTTCAAGTCGCCAAGCTGTTCGGGCAGCTGTACCAAGTGGTTGTCGTCGACGTTCAGCACCTGCAGTCGGTGACACTGCGTGATGGTGGTCGGCAGCGCTGTCAATGCGTTGTGGCTCACGTCCACGACTTGGAGGCGCGGCAAGGTGTGCAGGGCATCTGGGAGGGTCTGCAGGCTGTTGTGCTTGGCGGAGAGCCGCCGCAGCTGCGTCAGGCACGTCAGCTCATCAGGGAGCGAGCACAGCCTGTTGCGGTCCAGCACCAAGTTCTGCAGTAGAGCAATGGGCACGGGGTCGCTGAGCCAGCTCACACCATAGCCGACAGTGCGCGGGAAGTAGGCGAGGTTGTTGTCGCTGAAGTCGGCCGTGAATGTCGTGCGTGCAGCCAGCATGGCCTTGTGAATGAGGGCATGCTCATCCTCAATCATGCTCGCCTGTGCCTGTGCTGTGGCCTGCAACACGTCTTGCTGGATCAGTTCATACTGCTCTTGTTGTTGCTGTTGTGGTGCTTGTTCTTCCCGCTCTTGTTTCTGTCGCTGCTCCTCTTGTTTTTGTTGCTGTTCCTGGTGGTGGAATTCAGGGACATGCTCACTGTCACCCCCATCATCAGTCTCATCATCTCCCACGACAGGCCTTTGTCCAACACCAACGCTGTCCTCAACTTCCAGCCCCTCCACCTCTCGCTCTTCTCCTTGCTCTTCTCCTTGCTCTTCTCCTTGCTCTTCTTCTAGTTCGTTATTTGCTTGCTGCTGGATGTGGGCGACAATGGCGCGAATGATGTCTGCTTTGACACCTTTTGGAGGGCAGCATTTCGGCCAACCAACACCGGGCTGCTTGATCCCAAGGTCCACCGCCAGCTCCTGCAACTCAACCTTGCTCTTCTCTTCCAACTCAACCTCCATCGTGTGTCACGACAGCGTCGGCGTTGTGGCAGCAACACAAAACAGTTCACTGACTGACTGTGCCACAGTGCAAGTGCAAAGTGTTTTCTCTTATTTCCTCCGCGAAAAAACGGTAACGACTGAATTCAGTGAACCATGTACTCTAGACTGAAATCAGTCCTTCCGCTGCGACTTGTTGTGGTTGTGGCGTGTGGATGATGACGATGACGATGACGATGATTCGAACAAGGGGCGGTAGTGGCGCTTGAGGTATTCCTGCAGCTTGCTGTACCCGCCACCGGTCCTCACAAGCACCGTCTGTTTCGTTGAACAAAAAACAACCAGGGAGATGTGTGTGTGTGTGTGTGTGTGTGTGTGTGTGTGTGTGTGTGTGTGTGAGGAAGGACACGGTTTGCATGGTGGTGTTGACGTCTGCCTGCTTGCCGCATACACAACAGCCCATGTACAGTTGGCAAGCACACAACGCGCTTCCATCCCTGTGAGTGTGCTCACCTCGCCGCGGACTTGGATCTTGACCTGCGCCTCCGCCTTCTTGCCCATGGATTCCGGCGCCTTGATGAGATACGTGCCATCGCCGAGACGAACAAACTGCAGCCCACGGTCAACGACGCCCAGCTCCGTCAGCTTCGACGACACCGCCGCACTGTCCATATCCCCTGCACGCGTGTAAATGTGTGTGCGTATGTGTGTGTGTGTTGTGTGTGTTGTGTGTGTGTGGGGGGGGGGGGAGGTGAGGTTGTTGTGCACAGTTTTGTGTGTGTGTGTGTGTGTGTGTGTGTGTGTGTGTGTGTGTGTGTGTGTGTGTGTGTGTGTGTGTGTGTGTGTGTGTGTGTGTGTGTGTGGGCATGCATGCGTATGGTGCTTTG